CACCTCCTCACACACCTCTCACACCTCTCACCTCCTCACACACCCCTCACACCTCTCACACCTCAAACCTCCTCACACAGCTCTCACACCTCTCACCTCCTCACACACCTCTCACCCCCTCACACACCTCTCACCTCCTCACACACCCCTCACACCTCTCACCTCACACCTCTCACCTCACACCTCTCACCTCCTCCCACCTCTCACCTCCTCACACCTCTCACCTCCTCACACCTCTCACCTCCTCACACCCCCCTCACCTCCTCACACACCCCTCACACCTCTCAACTCACACCTCTCACCTCCTCACACCTCTCACCTCCTCACACACCTCTCACCTCCTCACACACCCCTCACACCTCTCACCCCCCACGCACCATGCACGGTTCCGCCTCCCGCACACCCTCCAGCTGGATCATCCACACACCGCCACCACTGCCCAACAAAGTCACGGCCGCTGTCCCCACGGCCCACGTACCTGGCCGGACTACAACTCCCGGCGTGCCCCCGGGCTCCTGGGGGCGGGCGACGCGGCGCCTTCTGGGAATTGTAGTCCAGGTGGGCGGGCAGTCGCACGAGCCGGGGCGCCTGAGACGCGGCGCGTTCTGGAAGCTGTGGTTCCCAGCTGGCGCACGGACTCATCACTCCAGCGCCGCCGCGTCGCCTCCCGGAAGCGTCCGACCGCGCACCAGCCGCGCACCAGCGGGTGAGGTGGGTCTGGGTGGGGCCCCCCCGCGGATTGCCGGAGAGAAACTACGGGAAACCCCGAAGCGGCGAACGCCTGCGGTGGTCTAAGCGAGATGTGTGGGACCGACACGCGCAGATGGAGAGCGAGGGGCTGACCCCGAGCCGCGCGTGGACCGACAGACGGACAGACCGAGTGTGGAGCTCTGTTCCAGTGCGGGACCGGCTGACTGACCAGTTGTGTGAGTGTCTGGTTGTGTTTTTGTGTCTGACTCGTATTGCTGTGTTTCTGACTGACAAGCTGGGAGCGTGTGGTCGGCTGATAGGATGTCTGACTGACCTGATCAAGTGTGCGACTGACAAAGAAGTTGTTTGAGATTTTGTCGGAGGGTTGTGTGTTGTGCGTGAGAGGGTGTGTCTGTGACTGACTGTGATTTCAGGCGTAACCGAGAGTCTGTGTATGTGACTGGCTGAGACAGTGACTGATGGTTATGAATGACTGGCGATGCTGTGAGCTCCTGTGTTTATTGGACTGTGTTTATTTGGGTGCAGGGGTATATTTTGGGATATGACTGACTATGCCTGAGGTAGGGTGTATGCATGGAACTATGTGACTGACTGGGATTTGTCAGGGGGACTATATTTGGATGATTTGCAGGGAGTTTACCAAGTATGTGACAGAGAATTTGTATGCAGCTGAAATTATGTGACCTGCAGTCACCCAGCTGGGTTGATGTCCACTTGCACCTTCTGTGGCCTTAAGCCTGGCAGGGACTGTGGAGTCATCAGACTGGGCATCTACTGCATGTCTGCTGTGTGCCAGGCCTGTTGTCAGGTCGGGTACAGGAAGGAGCAAGAAATGAAAGAACTGCTCTCCTAAGTTGGTTGAGCAGCTGTGGACAGGGGACCTCGACCTGATGTGAGGTCAGCACGTTGGGGGTGAGCTGATCATGGTTCACGTCCCTGTGTCTCAGAGACTGTCCTCAGGGATTTTCCAAGACAGCAGTTTCAGGGGTACAAAAGGGAGCTTGGAAACGGTCGCTGTATTTATTGTCAATCCTGCCACCCCTGTACCCACTCCTCTGAACAATGATTCCCTGCCTCAAACTCCGCCTTTCCTGGTCTCTCCGTTTTCTCAGCACCTGTTCACTGTGCACTTGCTATAGGCACTGCGGCTCCAGCGTGCCCAGTCTCTCTGGGGAAACAAGGTTAGAACACAGAGCTGGGGGAGAATGACCCGGGGCACTCAGAAGGATACTTAGCCTGCTTTCAGGTGCTGGGACGGTTCTTGGAGAAGATGACAGCTAAAGTGGGGCCTGGAGAACTAGGAGAAATTGCTCAGGTGCAGAGGGGGATTTTAGGACAAGAGAGTAACAGGGACAAAGGAATTCAGGAATTGGGATAATGGCAAAGGCAAGGTTGCAAGAGGCCCAAGTAAGCTTTACAGTGGAGTTAGGGGCTAGAGCACAGCTTTGCCAGAAATCACCAGCTGCCACTGAAAGTTTTCAGGATTGAGGTCTTGTTTTATTCGTGCTCACTTCTCCCTGTGCTCAAGGTCATGGCTTCAGTGCCAACAGTTGTTATCTGTTATTTTGCGTATTAGATCCTAGCCGGTGTAAAGTGATATCTCATTGTGCTTTTGATTTGTAATTCTCTGGTAGCTGATGATGTCGATCATCTTTTCATGTGCTTGTTGACGATTTGTATATCTTCTTTGGAGAAATATCTAGTCAAATCCTTTGCCCATTCTTTAATTTGGGATTATTTGTCTTTTTATTATGGAGTTGTTCTAGATACAGGTCCCTTATCGGATGTATGATTTGCAAATATTTTCTCCCATTCTGTGGGCTGCCTTTTCACTTTTTCTTTTTTTTTTTTTTTTTTGCCTTGTCACACAGCTTGCACGATCTTAGCTCCAACTCCTAACCACTGGACTGCCAGGGAATTCCTCTTTTCACCTTCTTGACGGTGTCCTGCAAATCACAAAGGTTTTTAATTTTGATGAAGTCTAGTTTATCTGTTTTCTCTTTTGTCACTTACCTAAGATGGCTTTGCATTATTTTTGAGTGTGTGTGGAACAGTGACCACAAAACCACACACTGGGTCACAAACCAAGTCTCAAACCAGCAAATATCAAAGGATTAAAATTGACGAAAGCACATTTTCTGAGCACAACAGAGTTAATCTGGAAATCAGTAATAAAAAGACTATCAGAAAACTCTGAATTGTTTGGAAATGAAGCAGCAGAGTTCTAAGTAACCCATGGTTCAGGAAGAAACCAAAAGAGAAATTAGAATATATTTTTAACTAAATGATAATGAAGATGCAAAACCAAACTTGTGGGTGTACAGCTAAAGCTGTGTTTATAGGGAAATTTATAGCCTGAAATACATGTATTAGAAAAGAAGAAAGGCTGAATGTCAGTTGTCTAAATATTCATCTCAGAAACTACAAAATAATTAGCAAATAAAGTAAGGGAATGCCCCTGTGGCTCCCAGGGGAGTGGGGTGTGTGTGTGAGATAGAAGACAGACCCACTCTGTGTGGGAGGAGCATAGGCCTGAAGCAGACTGGCCATGGGGTCAGGCTACTGGGGTTTGTAGCTCAGCAACCGCCCTTCCTTTCAGTATCTGGGAAACTTTGGGCAAATCTTTTTCTCCTGTCTGTCTTTATGCCATATAATGAGAGAAAGCTCCCACCTCCTGAGTTTATTGTGAGTTTTAAACGAGTTACTATATGCAAGCATTTAGAAAGGTGCTCAGCACCAAATGGGCGCTGCCCTAATTATTTTGATCATCTGTGACTCTGTGAGACTGAGTCACATCTCACAGGCCCCAAGCCCACATCTGCCCTACTCAGCAGCCACAAGGCAGGGCACCAAGTTCACAGGATAACCAAGTTCTGATCCTCCTGCAGACCCAGTTCCAAGGCTCCAGCCATTCCATATCTCACTGGAGGTCTGCTGCCCAATGGCCATCCCCAAGAGCCTTGTGAGCCCGGTGCCCTGGGAACAGGATGACTTTCTGCGAGTGAAGGTCGAGCATGAGGAGGCCAGCTTCTCTCAGGTCCAGGAGTCTAACTTTGGCCACACCTCGCACCCTGAGGCTGCCCGTCTGTGCTTCTGACACTTCTGCTATGAGGAGGCATCCCAACCCACGTGAGGCGCCGGCCTGGCTCCGTGAACTCTGCCGCCAGTGGCTGCGGCCCGAGGTGCACTTCAAGGAGCAGATGCTGGAGCTGCTGGTGCTGGAGCAGTTCCTGGGCGCGCTGCCCCCCGAGATCCAGACCTGGTTGCGGGCTCAGTGCCCCGAGAGTGGCGAGGAGGCTGTGGTGCTCGTAGCATATGATCATCTCAATAGATGCAGAAAAAGCTTTTGACAAAATTCAACACCCATTTATGATATAAAAAAAAAAGCTCTCCAAAAAGTGGGCATAGAGGGGACCTACCTCAACATAATAAAGGCCATATACGACAAACCCACAGTAAACATCATTCTCAATGGTGAAAAACTGAAAGCATTTCCTCTAAGATCAGGAACGAGATAAGGATGTCCACTCTCACCACTATTACTCAACATAGTTTTGGAAGTCCTAGCCGTGGCAATCAGAAAAGAAAAAGAAATAAAAGGAATACAAATTGGAAAAGAAGAAGTAAAACTGTCACTGTTTGCAGATGACATGATACTGTACATAGAGAATCCTAAAGATGCCACCAGAAAACTACTAGAGGTAATCAATGAATTTGGTAAAGCTGCAGCATACAAAATTAATGCACAGAAATCTCTTGCATTCCTATACACTAACAATGAAAGATCAGAAAGAGAAATTAAGGAAACAATCCCATTCACCATTTCAACAAAAATAATAAAATACCTAGGAATAAACCTACCTAAGGAGGTAAAAGACCTGTACTCAGAAAACTGTAAGACACTGATGAAAGAAATCAAAGATGACACTAACAGATGGAGAGATATACCATGTTCTTGGATTGGAAGAATCAATGTTGTGAAGATGACTATACTACCCAAAGCAATCTACAGATTTAATGCAATCCCTATCAAATTACCAGTGGCATTTTTTTTTACAGAACTAGAACAAAAAATCTTAAAATTTGTATGGAGACACACAAAAGACCCTGAATAGCCAAAGCAGTCTTGAGGGAAAAAAATGGAGCTGGAGGAATCAGACTCCCTGACTTCAGACTATACTACAAAGCTACAGTAATCAAGACAATATGCTACTGGCACAAAAACAGAAATATAGATCAATGGAACAGGATAGAAAGCCCAGAGATAAACCCACGCACTAATGATCAACTAATCTATGACAAAGGAGCCAAGGATATACAATGGAGAAAAGATAGTCTCTTCAATAAGTGGTGCTGGGAAAACTGGATAGGTACATGTAAAAGAATGAAATCAGAACACTCCCTAACACCATACACAAAAATAAACTCAAAATGGATTAGAGACCTAAATGTAAGACCGGACACTATAAAACTCTTAGACGAAAACATAGGAAGAGCACTCTTTGACATAAATCACAGCAAGATCTTTTTTGATCCACCTCCTAGAGTAATGGAAATAAAAACAAAAATAAACAAATGGGACCTAATGAAACTTAAAAGCTTTTGCAGAGCAAAGGAAACTACACACAAGACAAAAAGACAACCCTCAGAATGGGAGAAAATATTTGCAAACGAATCAATGGACAAAGGATTAATCTCCAAAATATATAAACAGCTCAATATTAAAAAAACAAACAACCCAATCAAAAAAATGGGCAGAAGACTTAAATAGACATTTCTCCAAGGAAGACATACAGATGGCCAAGAAGCACATGAAAAGCTGCCCAACATCACTAATTATTAGAGAAATGCAGATCAAAACTACAATGAGGTATCACCTCACACCAGTTAGAATGGGCATCATCAGAAAATCTACAAACAACAAATGCTGGAGAGGGTATGGAGAAAAGGGAACCCTCTTGCACTGTTGGTGGGAATGTAAATTGATACAGCCACTATGGAGAATAGTATGGAGGTTCCTTAAAAAACTAAAAATAGAATTACCATATGAGCCAGCAATCCCACTACTGGACATATACCCAGAGAAAACCATAATTCAAAAAGACACATGCACCCCAATGTTCATTGCAGCACTATTTACAATAGCCAGGTCATGGAAGGAACCTAAGTGTCCATCAACAGACGAATGGATAAAGAAGATGTGGTATATATATATACAATGGAATATTACTCAGACATAAAAAGGAACAAAATTGGGTCATTTGTAGAGACGTGGGTGGATCTAGAGACTGTCATACAGAGAGAAGTAAGTCAGAAAGAGAAAAACAAATATTGTATATTAACGCATATATGTGGAACCTAGAAAAATGGTACAGATGAACTGGTTTGCAGGGCAGAAACAGAGACACAGATGAAGAGAGCAAACGTATGGACACCAAGGGGGGAAAGTGGCAGGGGGGGTGGGGGGGATGAATTGGGAGATTGGGATTGACACACATACACTAATATGTATAAAATAGATAACTAATTACTTAGTTATCTATATAACTAAGTTATAAAAAATAAATAAAATAGGGCTTCCCTGGTGGCGCAGTGGTTGAGAGTCCACCTGACGATGCAGGGGACATGGGTTTGTGCCCTGGTCCGGGAAGTTCCCACATGCCGCGGAGCGGCTGGGCCCGTGAGCCATGGCCGCTGAGCCTGAGCATCCGGAGCCTGTGCTCCGCAACAGGAGAGGCTACAACAGTGAGAGGCCCGCGTACCGCAAAAAAATTAAATAAATAAATAAATAAATAAAATTCAATTAAAAAATAAAAAAGGATGACAAGAAGGACAGGACCCTGCAGGACCCATCACACATGTGATAATTGCACAACGCTTCCATCCCCTCTGGCCCTATGCAGGACTGGCCTTTGACCCAGGGCAGGTGAAGCCGACACCACCCCCTCCCCTTGCTGGTTCTCCTTCCCCCACCGGTGGCATTGATCAGGGCTAATTCCTTGGAAATCCAACACTTCCCCCGCACTGTGGCAACTGCCACTTTGTACCTTGGTTTCTCCACCTGACAAGTTAGCCAGCTGGATCTCGAGACCAAAGGATGGGTACTCGGAGCCCCTTCTCCAAGCAAGTGTGAGGACACCTGGGTGACAATGAACACTGGCACATCTCACCCCCTGCCAAACTGTCCATGCGACCTGACAGACTCACCACCCATCACCACGTGAAAAAATGGGAGGATGTGAAAGAGAAACATCTCTTCCCCAAACACTTGTGGGTTTGAGTCCAAGGATATTCTTCCCAGGTGGGAAGTGGACTGGATGCAATCCTGCCTGTCCACCTGAGATACTGACTGTGCAGCTTCCTGAGAACATGGGTGGGGGTGACATGGGCACACTGGGGAACAGGCAGCTGTGGGCCCCACCTGCCCACCAGCATGATCATCAGCAGGTGGGGACAAAACTAACCTACAGCAGACACCAGCTCAGGGATGATGGAGCTGGGCTCAGTAGCCATGGCTCCTGAGGGGCCCTTCCTGGGGGAGGTCAAGGGAGGTGCTTTCTCTAGACTGTGGAGCCTGCTGTGCAAATAAAGTAGATAAGTTGAAAGGTCCAGGTTCCAAAAAGCGTCCTTGTACACCAGGACTGGCAGAGCTGCTGGCAGCAAGCCCTGTTGTGCATCACCCACTGCAGGTAAACTGCTCAGACTCATCCAGCACTCTCCACAGGCAGAGTCTGCCCTGACAAGGACAGATGCACAGGAAGAGCCGGCAGAAAAAGGCAAGTGCAGAACGCACTCCCACACGGCTGGTGGGAATGGAAAAGGACGCGGCCAGCCACTGTGGACAACAGCCTGGAAGTTGCCCCAAATGGTTAAACATGACACCGCAACTCCACTCCTATGTATCTACCCAAGAGAAATGAAGACAGGTGTTCAAGCAAAAACTTGTATGCTAATGTTCACTGCAGCATTCTTCATAACAGCCAAAAGGTGGAAACAACCCAAATGTCCATCAACTGATGAATGGATAAACAAATTGTGGTCTATCCATACAATGGAATATTACTCAGCAATAAAAAGGGATGAAGTACTGATACTCGGTTGGACCTCGGAAAATATGGTCAGTGAAAGAAGCCAGACACCAAAAGACCACATAGTGTATAATTCCATTTGTATGAAAAATCCAGAAAAAGCAAATCCAGAGACAAAGGGTAGATTCGTGGTTGCCAGGGGCTGAGGGGAGGAAGAATGGGGAGTAATTGCTTAATGAATATGGAGTTTCATTTTGGGGTGCTGGAATTAGTGATGATGACTGCACAACACAGAAAATACATAAACTAAGAAATATACCAAAAACCAACCTGAATTGTACACTTTAAAATGGTTCATTTATGTCATGTGAATTGTATCCCCCCCCAAAATAATGGAATGCACTCATGCCACAAGGTGTTCCTGCCTCTGGCGTGCCAGTGTGTCTGCCCAAGGCCGCCTGGGCCAGACCACCCTGCCACATCCAGGATGTCATCTGAGCCCCGGCCACAGGGACAATACTGCATGGAAAGGAAGTGTGTGTGTGTGTGTGTGTGTGTGTGTGTGTGTTTAAACAATACTCTTGTAGCAAGAAAAACAAGGTCTTCAAAATTGTTAGGTAAAAATAAAACATCAACTTCTTGCCTATGGCCAAGCTAACTGCACACCAAGCTGTTTTCACATCAGAAGCTTAATGCCGGGTTGACAGCATTCTCCCACAGGGCCCAGACTTTTCTTCAATTGGGTGTCTCTTAATCCACTCGTTTCTAGAAGGAAACGCTTTGTGGGAAGCTGGACATACTTGCTGGGAATAATGGGTAGCATGCTGGGCACAGGGCGATGCCTTATGGTGTCCCCAGCTCCAGGGCACTGCTGTCACCAATTCACAGATGGCAAGCTGTGATTCAGCGAGAGCGAGACTTGGGCAGGACGTGGAGCACGTGCGCTCATGCCGAGCCTGTCTGACCCTGGAGCCCTGTCTCCGCACCCAGGGGGCCCACTGGCTCCTACCACCACCCACAGCGTTCAGCATCTGCCTCTCACACGTGTGGGCTTCACCCTCTGGCAGGTGTCTGCCAGCCAGAGAGCTGTGCAGGGCAGGCCCACGCCGCCATCACCCCAGCTTTCCCTGTACCCCTGAGTCTCTGCCTCTGGGCGCTGCAGGTTTTGCGGATTTCCTTGGTCTGCCTCCAAGAAGCCAGGCTGACCCTGCAGGGGGATCAACTGCAGAGCTGCTGGCGCTGCCACCAGGACCCTCTACTAATGGGGATCAGTCCAGGGACACCACCAGGCTAGGATCTGAGGTCCCCACACACAAGGGAGGGGGGGCTCGCCAGCCACGAGTGCTTATGTGGGGACCCTGCCACCCCTTCTCCTTGT